ATGATAATTATTGATGTCAAAATAAAATATGATATATTATAAATTGAAATGGCCGAAAATTTCAAGAGAAAGATACAAAACATATTTTGATTTTTTACCTAATGATATATTTGATTTATATAATCAAATATTTGATTAGTAAAGAATATTTGTATTGTTGTGTTAGTTGGGAACAATACATTAAGCCAAATTTGTTTTTGTCCCTAAGCAATTTTCTAGCAATTCCTTAATGCAATATATTATAAAATGAGAAATATCCCTCCCCATTTTCAAATGTGTTTTTCGGCCATCCCAATTTTAGAGAGAAGAAAATTTTATTTTGTGTTCAAAGTTATTTTTCTAAAGTGTTAGAAATATACACAAAATATTATAAACAAATATTTATAAGATAAATATTTTACTATATATTTATTACTCCCAAAGTAGTATTATTATAGTTTTTACTATCCTATATTAAACTTGCTAGCACAAGTTTAATCTTGGACTCCGGAGCAAGTTCGTGTGGATACGTTGGAGGCTTCATACGTTTGGCGCTACGTTCATCTCCTCAAAACCATCCCCGACCGTTCCTCCGTTCTTCGTTTTCACCGTTAAGGTAAATTTCTTACTATAGCTAGTAATTTGCGTAAGTTGTTCTTGGGTGGAATCGAGTTTTGGACTATAAATTTTTGTTTTCCGCTGCGTTATCCAAGCCTCGTTTCCCAACACCAGATTCCCTATGATAAAGATATGATAAAGAATATTACGCCCAAACAATCCCATTGTTTGACAAACCGGCGATTTCTGTGAGCAAGAACAAGTCTCTCTTGGGAGCATGAACCAAACCAAATGATTGTTCTATAATGGCTATTCCTCACGGACGAGAAATGCTCTCATTACAAATGCTCTTAGCGTTTCCTCTCTTTAATTTATTCTTATTATCTACTCTTACTTATCCTTATTAAAATCAGACCATACCAGATCAAAGACAAGTTTAAAATAACTATAATTAAATCAGATCAAACCGTAATAAAATCAGATCAAATATATTCATATCAGACAAAGAGAACAAACTCTAAATTTAACTACAATGACATGAGATCAGTTCATATCAAACCACATCAAAATATATCGGATCACACTTTGATAAATCAAATTCAATCAATTAGATGAAAAGAACAAACTATTAGACCTAATGAATTAAATTGTAGAAACTAATTTTTTTTAACATAGAAATTAATTTTGTTCAAATGATAGTTAATAATGGGTCAAATTCCATTTTTAAGGTTTATTTTCTAAGGTATATATATAAGGTCTTCACTGCGAGGAATGATAATGATGCATTTTTGTGCCGTCACGATGAAGTTTTATATTGTGGTAGCGCATTTTTGGTACTAGGAATAAAGTTCAACTTATTTACCATAATAAGTATTGATGGTCAGAAACTACCGAGTAGGCCGATCGAGGGGTCGGGTGAGATGAGTAAGTAAGAAAATTTAAGTAGAGAGCGGGAGAGTGCAAGAGTAGGAGTGTTATTAGCTTGATTTCAGATCCCTTTACAATGCCTAGCATAGGAGTATTTATAGCTCTAACTATTACAACGATAACAACCGTGATTGACACTCGTTTGTTGTTGTCCCATGGAGCTCCATAGCTACACGTGAAATTCCTTTATCATCTAGCCTCTGTCCCTAGAAGCTATGTTGAGCTTCATGTCATCGCCTGACACATTCACGTGGTAGGAGGTGGAAACTCGTCGCAGCTCACCTCAAGGTCCAATCGTGCTCCTCGGCTCCGTGGGACCGAGTCGAGCTCGAGGGTATGCCAAGCTGACCTGTAAGATATGATAGGGACCCACCCTATAGCCAAGCACAAGTATGACCTGGAGTTATCCTCCATCACATATGCATATATATATAAAACCATAATAATCACATTTCCATTTATGGAAGATTTAAATTAAAAACAAATGTAACATAGTAATTTAACTAATCTAAAGAGGGCTGAAAAACAAAATCCACAATGGACTAGTAGTGTTTCACTTTCACCCATAGCCTTTTTTCTCACCTTTAATTATTATGACCCCAAAAAGGGGTTAGAGTGAGAGAGGGACGGAATCGACTTTTCGAGTCTATAGTCACAAGTCAGTGTCTAGCAGAGAAGGAAAGGCGGAGATGGGTAATCCATTCTCCCCTTGAGAATGACATCCCATTTTAATTTCATTACCATTTTTGCCCTCTTGTCTCTATCCCTATTTTTGGGACAATAAAAAAGAATCACTTTTTCTAACTCCCCCTCCAAAAAAAACTAAATCCCATTTTTATGCTAAGAGCAACTTTAGTGGTTGAGTAATAGAGGAGAAAATCTTAGATGACATGAGGGAATCTGGAAGGAAGGATTAAAATGGAGTAGGACATGAAGAGAGGGGAAATCTGATTTTCGAAATATCAAAGTAGGACTAAAACATTGCAAATATATCAAAATATGACTTTCATATTTAATTCTCGAAATATGACTTACATTACCAAACATGGTCATGAACATTACAAAAAAAGTATAGTAATGTACACATTACAGTGTCACAATACCACAGTGCAAAGTCCTATTTCGGGGAAAAAATATGAAAGTCTTATTTTGATACTTTTCTTTATGTTTTAGTCCTATTTAACATTACCAAAAAAGTATAGTAATGTACACATGTACAGTGCCACATTACCACAGTGCAAAATCCTATTTTGAGGAAAAAATATCAAAGTCTTATTTTAATACTTTTCTTTATGTTTTAGTCCTATTTAGGGTGATTTCTATAGGAGTTTTATGTTTTTATTCTCGAAATATGAGTTAAAATATACAGCGTATTTATATTATCAATCATGACCATGTATATTTCCAAAAAATATGATAAAATACTTATGTACCGTATGGATTCGTATTTAAGTAATAAAAACATAGAACTCCTATTAGGATACTTTCTCTATCTTTTTTACTCTTATTTAGGGTAATTCCTTTTGAGTAGAAGCTGGTCCGCTACTATTTTTTTTGATGGAGCAATATTTTTGTCGGCCAAGTGTCATCTATGAAATAAATGAATGGGCAATTTTTTTTTTGGATTAAAAGAAGTGGGTGTTTGTGATTTTTTTATTATTTTTCCATCCCACTATTTTACCCCATTTTATTCTTATTTTTTTTGTTTGTCAACAACTTTTGTCGCATTCTATATTAATTCATATTTTTATAGTGCACAATTTTTTATTTTGTCATGCTTTTTAATATTAATATTAATCACACAAACTTACTTTTTTCACTTTTGTGTTATTTTCACCTGCCCAACATTAGTGGGACGGATGGAGTAATTTGATTTCAGATAGTGTTTCAAAATTTAAATTGAATTCATAAATTTCAATTCTAATATTTGAATATTGGATTTCAAATTACAAGGAGTGCATGTATAGATTTATAATTGAGTTTCGGTTTAAATTAAAATAATTTGGCTCAAATCCAAATCTAAATTTTGTATATATCAAAACATATGATTTATTTGAAACCTAGATTTAAGTTTCCAAACATATGGGTATGGAATCTAAGAAAACATGTTGAAAAATGAAAATTATTACCTATGTGGTAGCATTTTGTTTGGAAGAAAACAATATTATGAGCGGCATAATTTTTATATATTAAGAAAATAGAAAAATACCAAATTTTATTATAAAATGGTTGAAAAAAATAAAAATGAGTACTCCCTATGAATTTAATTTGAAGGCTTATAAATACACCACTTGGGGAAACAGCCTCTAAACTCGGTCGGAAATCCCATTGTCACGTACGGAGGGAAAAAAGTTCATAATGAGTATTAAAAACAAAATAAAATAATGAGTTGATGTAGACCCAAGAGAATCATAGACTTTATTACTCCAAATCAAAATTATTTTAAGAAAATTGCTCTTCTGATTCACCTTGGGTGCATATTATTTCTATGAATTTTTTCCCATTAAAAACTTTTTTTATTTTTTTTAAAAAAGAACAAATGCTTATCTAAGGCTACATTCTGTTCATCTGATTTGATCTAAATTTTTAAAATTTCTAGTCTGATTTGGTCTGATCTGATTAGATATAATCTACTTCTTTGAAAAAACAAAATATTCTTCTCATTTCTTGCTTTACAAAACTTTTAATTTAGTTTTTAAATATGCAAGTTTTATTATGTATTTCTGTAAATTTTATTTTTTGAAAATATAAATAGTTTTTTAATTTATTAAAGTTTGTATAACTTTTTTAAGTACTAACATAATTAGGAGTGGGCAAACGGGTCAATGAACCGGGTTAGAGGCGGGTCTTCTTTTCAAATATTTATAATGAGCCGGGTCGGTCCGGTTCTTATAGGTTTAGGGTCGGTCCAGTTCTCCATTTTGAAATTATTCAAGAATCAAACTGGACAACTATTTAATATTCCGTATTATTATTAGTAATTACAACGGGAACAACGTCCTTACGAGTTACGCCCTTACCCCACTTTGTCATTATTCTGTCTTTATTTAGGCTTTTTTTTGTGTTTGATGACTTAAAATTGACAATGAAGATAGTATATTGTTGTAGACTAATGGTGAATGACCATGTATGTATTATTAATTTATTATCACTTTATTTTTTAACATTAGTATCGTGATAGGTTCGGACCCATTGACCCGTGAAATCGGCTCGTTTCAAACAAGCCGGGTTAGGTCCGATTTTAATTTTAAAATTTTGAAAACTCGTTCTGGCCCGGACCATTTTAATAAAAACATGTCGAGTCCGGTCTGTACAAATCTTGACTCAGACCAGACCATGCCCACCCCTAAAAATAATTATACATCATGGAGTGTATTTAATTGACGAAGTGTAGTTTGTATTTTCGGGTTGGACTATCCCTACCTAAAAAAGAAAGAAAAAACCTAAAAAAAAAGATAAAATAATGTGAGATGGTGAATTTATGATAGATTGAAAACCGTGATATGATAACAAAAAAAAGGAGCATGGATTATTAAATTTTATCGGAACCAAAACACATATGAAACCGAAATATACTTGAAACAAAGATCAATCCGAACCATATATGAACTGATCCCGAATCAAAACCCAAAAATGTATAGAATCAAGTTAAATCCGAACAAAATCAAACCGAAAAGATTACAACATATATCCAAAAGAATATTATTTTGGAAGAGAGAATAATTTATGGGTGCAAACCTCATAATAACCCTTTATCATTGTTCTTTACTTTTTCGTGGAAGCGCAGTCCACAGTAGTTACGCTTATGGTTGTTGCTTTTCATTTGAGAACCATGGAGCCGCAGAAGCAAGGAGTTGGTGACCACAAATATTGAGCTAAAGGCCATCAGCCCTCCTGTTCACATAAAGAGAATGGATAGTTAGGGTATCAACTTAGGAGAGTGTATTCAATTTGGATTTTAAAAGATTTTGATAGATTCTTTAAAATTCATGGATTATGTAAATTCATTGGATTGTTTTAAATTTACGTAGAGTTAGCTAGATTCTAATGTATTCTATCATAAGATTTTATAGGATTATGTTTTTCTTTTTTTCTTTTTTTTTTCTTTTTTCTTTTTCTTTTCTTTCTTTTTTTTCCTCCTTCCCCAAGAACCCTAGCCGGAGTAGCCGCTTCTTCCATTTTTCAAGAATGAGTCGCCGCTGGGGAAGGATGAAACGCCGCCGGGGAGAGCATCCGGGGAAGGATGAGTCGCCGCTGGGGAAGGATGAGTCGCCGCCGGGGAAGTATTCAAAGCGAGAATCCGAAGAATGACTTCCGTTTGCTCTGCCACATCGATGCTGCCGGCGGCGTCATCGGGAACAGATCCAATTCGAGAAACCGCTCATCAAACGGGATGCCAGATCCAATTCTGCGAATCAGGATGCCCGACCAAAACCCTAGCCAATATGAAGAAGACAACCCTCCGTTGAGAAGATGAGTTCTTAGGGAAGAAGGAGAAGAAGATTGATGGAAGGAGAAGAAGATTGGCTGAGAAAATCCACTGCCGAATGAGAAAAGATTGGCGGAGAATGGGGGTTTGGTTGGACTCTAGAAAATCCACTGGGGTTTGGTTGGATTTGCAAAAGACTTTTTTATTTATACTTCAAGCTAAAAATCCATCACAATCCATTTTATATAACAATCCTTAAAAATCCATCAAATTTTCAATACCATTAGATTTAGAAAGACTTTTTAAAATCTAAATTGAATACCTCTAGATTTTAAATGATTTTTTAAAATCCCGATTGAATACCCACTGACTTTTAAAATCCAAAAAAATCCTGCAGAGTTTGGATTGAATACACCCCCCTTAGTTATCAATACCCTACAAGTCCCAACTGTCGTCCTCCGGTGTCTTGAGTCGAGGGTCTCTACAAAACAAACTCTCTACTTTCTGGCTAGGGATAAGATTTGCGTACACACATTATCTCAAGACCCCACAAAACTGGGTCTGTCGTTTAGCATAAATGTGAACCTCAGTGCCCGAAAATGGGGGTCCTAACCAATCACTAATCACTACACTACTAGTACAAGCAATAAGGCCATCCCTGGCATTTCCTTGTTAAGTTGGATCTACCCACTTAAAACCAAACAAACATACAGTTTTATACGTTTAGATTGAAGAGGGTTTTCACTTTTCCCACATTGTCAATTTGTCATTCAAGTATTCATTGTTTAATTGTTTAACAGTCTTTATACCTGACTTAGGGATAAGCATTATTTGATGACAAGTACTAGAGAATGTTGGTACATACCTGACAAAGATGGTGTCATGGCAAAATCAAACTTAGGAAGTAGTGCTCCGGCCGCTATGGGAATTGTGACCATATTATATACTACTGCCCAAGTCAAGTTTTGATGAACTTTCACCATGGTTGCCCGCGCGAGGTCAAATGCTTCAACAACCTAGCAATCGATTGAGGCGAGGACATCGTTTATAATAATTACTGCATGTATCCCAAAATTCTCCTCCTACTTTGACTTGACAAGCATATTAAGAAAATAAAATTGTGGTTCTCTTTAATTTAGTGTATGTTTAGTTCTAGGGAACTGTTAGGGAAAGAATAAATGCTACAAAACGTATTAATATTGTGTTCAATTTCACCACGGAAAATGAAATGTGACATGTTTTCTTTGCGTGTTTAGATTACTAATTATTTATGCAATATAAACAGATAAAAAAACCCAGTTAGAAAAAATATAATAAATTAACTGCAAAGTTTGAAAAAAAGCTCACTATTTCTTGCTCCAAAATATTCCTCCCTATTATCTTTCCCTTGATTTTCCAAGTGCCAAATTGATTCTTAGAAATAAGAGAGACAGTTTCAACCACACAATTCTTTCTTTAAAAGAAAACCAGGACGACATTTTTGGGATAACATGGAAAGAAAAACACAGAAAATTTTGGGACCCAGGATACACATGGATTTATGGGATGCAAGTAAACCCCATCTTTATGAGAAAGTCACACACAAAGATGCCAATTTCTTAAACCTAGTGGAATACTGTTGGGAAGATAGAGACGTAATTCACCGGAAGCTTTATTTTCCTTAGCTCAAAATATACAGAAATGTTGCCTTTTTTGGCTGTTCGCTCGCAGCATAAAGGAATTCTAGATTTCTAGGATACAAGTGATGATAGAACACTTCATTTTTTCATGGAAGCTTTATTTGACTACTACTGACTAGCCTCAGTAGCGAGTCTTACATCCCAACAAGCAAAATTTAAGTGGTCACGACAAAATGTATGGCTGCTATTTAAAAGTAACAACAAAGTAAATACCATGACCATGGTGATGAGTTGAAAATCCAAACCTGAGAAAGTCTGTTTCCAAGAAGTATGATTGATGCTGCGTTAGAGGCTGCATTTTCTTGGCCTTCAACTTGCAAAGCTATCCCGACATCAGCAAGAGCCAGAGAAGGTGCATCATTAATGCCATCGCCAACCTTCATTTAAAAAAATAAGAGAACTTAATCTTCTGATCAGTCTATTCCACAAACTGATTTAAAAAGCATGGCTTGTGTCCTGTATTTCCTAAACAGTTGTGTATGCCATTTCATATGAAATAGCGTGACACAGGCACGCATTCAATTGTGCCTGTTTGAATGAGAGCATTTAACAGCGAGACACATTAAATAGAAGGCCTAATACCATGGCTAGACGATGGCCTGAAGCTTGAAGTGTTGATATGGTAGCAGATTTTTGCTGTGGTGTCAGGGATGCATTAACAAATTCATCCCGTATCCCAATCGTTTTCGATACGCTTGCAACTGCCTCTTCCCTGTCCCCTGATAAAAGCAAGGTTCTAATTCCCTTCTGCTGAAGCCTTCAAACAAACAACAACAACAATCCAGTTAAATCCCACAAGAGTAGGGTCTGGGGAGGGTGTGTGTACGCAGACCTTACCCCTACTCGAAAGTAGAGAGGCTGTTTCCAAAGAGACCCCCGGCTCAACGTCGAAAGTTGCATTGCTTGACTAACTGCTACTTCATTAATTAAAGAAGCGCAGACAGTTTAGAGATCCATTTTGATTTATTCCATCACACCCCAAAGCCAAAAAATGGTGAAATTTTGGCTCCATCGGAGATGTTTGAAATCTAGAAGACAATAAGATCCAATGATTGACCTGATAATCTTCTTAGTTAAAAAAGTTCAAAAAGCAATTCTCAGGAGAAACTGCACAACAAAATGCCTTTCAAGTGACCACTCATGGCTTTAAGAAATGTGTAATGACCATTTTTACTATATTTGTTAGCAATTCTAATACCGGCAAGGTTTTTCTTTTACCAATTTATGTCAACATGAGAGGCTGTCAAGAACACATTGGACACGTAAGGGGCCATGACCTAGCATGAAGATCATGTTAGATTACAGTTGAGTTAGGTGGAAAGTTCAACACAACATCAGAGCCAGAGCCATGTTTGTGGGTCTCAATGGTTTGGGGCAATGCCCGCCGGATATGCCCATCAGATGTCCAGCCCTGCGCTAGGCTGAGGTGTGTCAAAGAAGAGTTCCACATTGGACACGTATGGAACCATGAATTCACCATCCTTTTGGGCTTAAGTTAGGCCAAAATAACAGGGCCCCACATACCTCTTAATTGTAAACTCAGCATCAGCACGTAAATTATCAGATATTGCAATAGCACCTATAATGCCTTCATCCTCCCTACCGACATATACAACTGTCATCGAATGCCTTGATGATGAACTGCTTAATAGTAACTGATGCATCAGAGACTGCTCAAGATTCTTTAAACCTGAGATGCTTGTTTTTTGATTGAAGCGTTCACTAACCCATTCCAGTTTCCCAACAGCAACTAAAAGGCCATCTACTTCTGCCATTGTTCCTGAACCTGCTTCTGCTAATTGTCCTAGTGTAACAGGGATATCCAACTTCAATGATTCTGCCTTGCTTAAAATAGCTTTGGCAAGAGGATGTGATGCTGTTTTCTCCACAGCAGCAGCAATTCGAAGAATATCTGATTGCTCAACATCCAAAGATGCAATAGCAGAGACAGCAGGTTTTCCTTCGGTGAGGGTTCCTGTCTGCAAGTAATTTGTGAAGGTCAAGCAGTACACAATAAAGAAACTTTTCAGACATTCATGATTATTCCTTCCATTTTCTTACGTTTAAATATTAGATTCTTATGAAAAGTACTGTCATGTTGCATATACTAGATGCTTTAGCTACCTTGTCCAAAGCAACATAGTCAACACCTGCCAATCTTTCCAGCACATCTCCTCCTCTTATAAGAAGTCCTTTTTTTGCTCCTGTTCAATTTGAATGACCACATACAGAAGACCACAAAATTTCAGCATCACAGTGAAGCGCTCTAATAAATGTAAGTGCTAGATGATGAAGATTGAAGATAAAAGATACTCGTGGAAATGTAGAATTAGGGAAATGAAAAAAGAAAATAAAAAATGCTACGTGGTAAAGAAGAATATTATTTCAAAATCATGTTATAATCCTTTATCATTAAAAGTTTCTTTAGTGCATGTTTAGTTTAAAAATTCAGGTTAGAACTCTTTTGCACCTAGGAGGATTTTTTTGTGAAACTAGTATGTTTATATAGTATCAAACTGGAATATAATACTCACATCATGTTATTCCACTTTTAGAATTAGAAGCAATATAGATATCCGTTCAATCGGCAATAACGGTTACATGACATCTAAACTTTAAAGAAAGTTTTGCACTTTGTATCCGAGTTGTGCAGGATTCTTCACTTTGGTCCTTTATCTTTCATCTTTACAACAACAACAACCCAGTTGGATCCCACGAGAGTAGGTTCTAGGGAGGGTGTGTGTAAGTGTGACCTTGTCTCTACTCGAAAGTAGAGAGTGTTTCCAAGAGACACCCGGCTCAAGTAATACATCACAGGAGATACATAAATCAGAGAAAGCATAGATAAAGCACAAAGCACACAGAGGCAAAGAGCAAAGAGCAAACTAAAGTTAACGTAGGAAAAGTACTTCAATTAGAGCACCAAACATACAAGGCAAACAAAGCACACAACAAAGAGTACAGCCCAAAGCGCCTACCCAACTACTCTAATCCTAGCTTTCCAGACACTCGATACTCATAGATGACAGATCACATCATATTATTGCTTTTTTAGTCCTTCAACCAACATTTTCCATCCATTTCTATCAACTATATATACTAGTATGAACCAAGTAAGATTATACACACACTCATAAGAGACACTAGTGAATTGTTAATTAAAAGAACAGAAGATGATTCGTAAAAGACTAAAAATGCAACTTCAGCAATGTGGAAGTATGACACAGCTAAATGATATGTACAAAACGAACCAGATACCAAAATGATTAGTGATTAGTCACACACAACTTAGGGACAAAATGAAATATTTCCATGTTTAAAAGTAGTAAATATCAGTGGTAGGTGCATGATAGACTCTTCTTACTAAATAGTCTACCCCAACAAAAAAGCATACATAATATACTATATACCCTGTATTATTCATTTGTTTTAATGTTGTCATGTTCCATGATGTGCAATTTGATTTTACAATATTAATCTTGCAATCACACATAACTAAAATAACTACTCAACTCATCGTCATCTCATGATATGATGATGGCTTTGAAATTTATTTCTTCTTTAGCAGGTACTGACATGAAGAGCATCCAGCGCAAAACATTATCACTATGTTTTTAACATGTTATAAAGTATAGTTTCATAAGAAGTAACACGATGTAATGAAACAACCACCCAATACACCCCTGCATTTCTTTTTTACAGAAGGTTGTTTGTGTTAGACCCTTGATGCAAGCCACATTTACTACCCAAAACTTCATAGAAAGTAAGAAGCAAAAGAAGTTTAATGTGTCACTTTGATTTAGCCCATTATTTACTTGAAGCTAAAGTATTGTAAAAAATGACTATTTTAGCTCCATTGCCAATAGGCACACGTGGTGAAATGTAATGCAATGATTGTGGGACCCAACTGGGTTGTTGTTGTTTGCCAATAGGCACACGTTGTGAAATGTAATGCAATGATTGTTCACTCTTTCCTTTTCTATTTCATCACCATTTTTGATCCAGCAACTAAATGTTTTTGATAGGCTCTCGTTGGGCATATTAGTATGGGAAAAAAAATGGATCAGGAAAAAGCAAAATGAAGATGATTTACCTAGTGAAGTGCCAACTAAAATTGCAGTGGGTGTTGCAAGACCTAATGCACAAGGGCATGAGACAACCTGTCAAAGAGCATCAATGGTAAAACTGTGCTACCTCCTTGAATTAAATACACACTTCATTTCGAGATGTCCCAAAATAAAGTTCACACTTTTCACATTTCCTCTTAAGGAAAAGAATATATGACTCACATCATTTATCTCTCTTCTAAACAAATTCTAACAACTTTTTTTCACTTTTCAACAATTTTGAACTCTGTGAAGTAAATCCGTGGGTTTTTTGGGAAAAGAGAGTATAAATTATTTCCCTGACATAGATAAAAATATCTAAATACAAATAAATTTACATTTAAACACAATAAAGAAAATAATATGAGCTACAATTCTACAAAAGATACAGGAAAACATGTTTATTAATAAATTATACTCCCTCCATCCCATAAAAAGGTTCTACATTACTATTCATATGGACAAAGTTTCATCACATAATCTCGTTGACCATTTGACAAAGTAAAATAGTCATGTCACCTCTTGCTTTATAGAACATTTGATGCAATTATTAAATATGTAATCTTTATTTTTTAATTTACACCAATTTTCATATAAATTGAATTAAAAATAACTTCAATCAAACATCATAAACGGAACCTTTTTATAGTACGGAGGGAGTACACTTTATAGGCCCAACTAATTCCCAACTAGGTCCCTAAGTGCTAGAGCCATGTCTGCCTAGTGTCTATTGCCTTTTAGAAAGCTAATTAAATGTTAGTCAACATTTGACACAATTAAATCTTTTAAAATTCTGGTGGGCCGAGAACAACAGATAGAGTGTCAGGCAAAAATAACTACTTGTATACAAAGTCGGGATCCACTATTCTAACCCAAAAGCTTAAGCTGATAGGTAAGGCTTCACCCTTCTATATATGTTGTGGTATTATTCTTTATTTTCCGATGTGGGAACTCCAACACTCCCCCTCAAGGGGTAACTAGTCTGGCCTTGGACAAACGGGTCTAGCATCTCAATCTCTTATAGCTAGTCCGCACAACGAGCGGTGGCATCTCAATTTCTTTTAGTCAACTCAACCTAAACTACGGACCCACGTCCAACAACCATGAAAAATTCAAACTCAGACCGTACCTGCTTTGATATCATGTTAAAATTCCGGTGGGCCGAGAACAATGGGTGGAGTGTTGGGTAAAATTAACCACTTGCATATAAAGTTGGGATCCACTATTTTCTAACCCAAAAGCTTAGGGTTTCACCCTTCTATATATGCTAGTGGTATTATTCTTTATTTTTCAATGTGGGAACTCCAACAAAGAATTTTAACATGGTATCGAAGCAAGTCCGATCCAGGTTTGATTCTTCCTAGTTGTTGGACGCGGGTTAAGAAAAAAAAAGAGCTACCCATCCGTTGTGTGGGCTAGCTAAAAGAGAATGAGATGCTAGACTCGTTTGTCCAAGTACTAACTAGGTCAGGCTAGTTACCACTTTGAACATGTTTGTGTCTTCTTTGTTGGTTTACTTTGACTGTGTCTAAGCTGGGGGTCTCTTGGAAACAATCTCTCTACTTTCGAGCGGGGTTAAGGTCTGCAAGCACACGCCCTCCCCACGCCCTACTTTGTGTGAAATTTTACTGGGTTTGTTGTTGTAATGTCAATTACTACAAGTATCACATTAGAGAAGAAAAATTGTGTCTCAATAAGCTAGAATGGCAACTTATATGCTCATTATGGAATACCAGGACATCAACAGCAAGCTTTAAGCTAAGAAGCAGAGGGTCTCCATTTGGTCCAGCAATATCATTCAGCAAAACATCTGGGAAGATTTTTGAACCGAGATAGTACCTAATAATGGCCAGCAACATATATGAAACAAAGACAACTACAAAATCATACTTAATATAGTACATCAAGACACCCCTTACTATGCCAAATAAATCAAACCCCACTAAATAAAGTATATTGAAACTTGTTTTATATGATACATGATAACACTACAACCCATGTAATTATGTTACTTGTGCAAGAATTAACACCCCTAAGAATTTCTCAAGGACATGATTTTGGAGAAGGTTGGCTGTAAGATCTGTAACCAAGACAGATACACGGATAACAGAATATTATATTAACAGTATTAGTTCATCAACAGAGCAGGATAAAAAGTGGCTTCAAGGATGCAGCTTGTGGGTAATCTTGCTTTTATTAGTGATCATAAAGTCTGTGCACATGTGCTTTTAATATGAAAAGGGAGCACCATATTTCTCTAATGCACTGGCCAATAAAGAAAAGGCATACCAGAAAGCAAAGGTTGTTGCTGATAATGTCATTATACTGTACACAAATGGTCCAGCAATTGAATCTGCAAGCCTCTGTATTGGTGCTTCGCGGCCTTGAGCATCCTCAACCTGTAAAAGGGGAAGGACACTTCAGTGTTTTGCAACCAATTGCAAGCAACAACCATTTAAACTTTACTTCCTAGTTTCTGTCATTTCCTATTGGAAAATGCCGCTACTTTTTTGGCAATTTATTATTTTTGTGTAGAATAATAGTTTAATAGTCACAGATGATAGAGTCATTCTCAAGTCGGGCTATCAGAAAGACACAAATCCAATAAATGATTGCTTGTCATTAAGTAAAAGGATTTATTCCTTTCCAACATTTGGGGCATGAGATCAATCTATGAAAGATCAATGCACTTTTCTGCTCAATGCAAGGTTTAAACTAATCTAGACTTCATATTCTTTTGGGAACTTCAATGAATTTGAGATCTCAGATGCAAGTGGCCAACTTATTTTTGTGCCTGTACCAAGAAGGAAAACTATTTTCCAAAAACTGAGAGGTATTGTTTATCTTCCTCAGTTATACACTTATACACGCGATAAAAACACTAAAGAATCCAACAGCGATAAAAACACTAAAGAATCCAACCGAGTTACCATATTAACAATCTTGGATATAGTTGAGTTTGAACCAGTGGAGGTGGCCTCAATTTTTATTGGACTATCCTGAAACAAGATATGAAATTTGGAATATTACATTTCAGTGCAATCAACATCAATGACACAATTACATGTAAAGTTTAAAGGATTTCTTTTTTTTGGTACACATAATGAAGAAAAATGTTAAAACCTACTCACAGATGATTCTAACCCCAGAAATGAATATCATACCCAATTTATTGTTCCAGCTGATACAGACAACTCTTTCTCTTTGAACACGGGAAGGGATTCCCCAGTAAGCATAGATTCATCCACAACACTCCTACCTGCAACGACGTTACCCTGCATAGTATGACCTAGCAGTTAGAATGCAACCAGCATATCCACTTAAAAGTGACCCGAAAGTAAAATAAAGAATATAAATTTCGTAGGAAAATCTAACCATTAGTGGAGTTACAGATGAATCCATTTCCATCTTCTCTTATTGAAGAAAAACTATTTTTTTTGTTGAGAAAAAATTAAATCCGAGTTCTAATATGTGGCAACCTAGTTTTGTCCTTAAATACTCTATTATTTAAAACATGAACTAACATCAAAATCATGTTAGACACTTACATTTGATAATTTTGACACAAAAATAAATAAAGCTAAAAATGTACTATAGCTTTTTACGAGAAAACGATGTAGGCCCTATGCTTTCCTACACCCGTCTAGAGCCTTATATAACACTGGTTTTAATATAAAAGTGGCTACTGGACAATTACCTATAATCCAATTTAATTAATTCCTCCTCCACACATGGATAGTGGATACACTGATACATCGCAAAAGATGCAATGTTATACGGTAAAATTCATATAAACACAAAAAAATCATCTATAAGAGAATCTGAAAACAAGTATATATGCAATGCTACAACTGCTCTTCACTGATATGGAAGTTATCCTATATTTGGATGGTAAGGTATCAGTATATCACTAACTTGAAAATGAAAATACAGCATAAAAAATGAATGATCTTAGAAGGTTTTAGTTATAATTAGATATCCATATTCCATAACTTCAGAAATACTACTTCAGAGGAGAACTAGTGAACTTACATCTACAGGTATTGTTTCTCCAGGCAAAACTAATAATGAGTCCCCAACACGAATATCATCAGTTGGTACTTCAATGTATATTGCATCAGAGCTGACCACTTCACTTGAGGAACCACTTCCGCTGGGAGTAACCACAAGTCTGGATTGAGTGGATATAAGTGACTACAGAAAGATCCCAACAACAGCTTATCAAAGAATGATATTAATATATTATACAGACATTATTAAAAAAAACTTTAAACTAAATTTTGATAGGTTAAGGTGCCAATTGAAACTTCACTTCATCATGATTCATGAGCAAGACAATGAAAGTTCTGTTATATGTCTATAAATTTGATCTTGTATGGTTCTACCCAATAAAAGAAAGTTGGGACTCAAGCACTTCTTTAGCAATACTTTTTAAATGCGGAGAAGAATGCTTATCGTCGTCTGATGGAGGCGTTTAGATTCTTATAGAATGTGGTTGACCTCAACAATCCACTTCTATGGGGACTCCGACAAAATCACATAAAAGATTGCCTAGCTATCGTGGATATGAGTGCTGTTTACCTCGTCAAGCAGACATCTTGCCCCATCTCGCCCGACATGGCAAGCTGCAAGTTAGGGACAACCGCAGATGACCCACACTTGATGCCTGACACTGATAGATTTAGGATTGAGTAGGGATCACTGGACTTGGCAATAAGACATTTGGGTTGAACCAAATTAAAAGATTGAATCCAATCGATTACTTAGTTCAACTAAAGAGCTTATATACCGATTACTTTTCTCTCCAACTTCCGATGTGGGATAGACTCTAACACTCCCCCTCTAGTGAACAACCGGACCATTTTGAATCTAACCGGTTGACCACTTGCAAATGAATACACATCTCTTGATTTTTTTAGCGCCAACACCTAAAGGACCATGAGTCGATGGGTATGGACTTCTAAACGAGCAATCGGGTTAAACGAGCCACAGGCTATTGGATTTACATTCCACGCAGACAATTGGCTAAAGACTAGGGATAAATGTCTAGACGAACACCTTAACAAATGAGGTGGGCTAAAACTTGAGTTGAACCATATTAAAAGATTGAATCCAATCGATTACTTAGTTCAACTCAAGGGCTTATATACTGATTACTTTTCTTTCCAACTTTCGATGTGGAATAGACTCTAACAAACATATCAGGCAACATGTCCCACTAGATGGGAAAAGAGCATTTTTATTAGCTAAAGGGAATATAGTTGTCGGCCCCCAAGTTGTACTCGTAGCATAATTATCTTTTTCGTCTCTAAATTGTACTAGTATCAGATAGAGAAATTTCTAGCTTAAGTCCCTAAGCTCTCATATTCAAAGCTGTTTTGGTAATTCATTAAAGTATTAAACACTGTTGTTAAGATAAACGGAAATGTGAGAACTGTAAATAATATTTTCCAAACTAGCATTCAAACTACATCTAATATATTTTCCAAATTCATGCTTTAATTAAAAAGGTAGAATTACAAATAAATTATCAACAAAAGTAGGCCTACAAATACATCCCTTAAAATTTAAACTTGGTATCCAAGAGGTCTCACAATAGCAATAGCAAAGAGCAACTGATCACTAATCTCTCTCCCCCTCCCCTCCATCCCTCTTTCACTGATAATTTCATGTCACATGGTTGGAACAGTTCTAATTTTTAACCTTAAAACTCTGCTTATGGACATTTGAGGGAAGCCTCAAATCCCTCTTCCCCCAACACACACCCCTCACAACTACCAGCCATGGTAAAAAGATAAGTTGGAGGAACACTTAAATAGTTGTATAACTAGAACTAACCAGTAACTCATTCATGTCACTAGATGCTTTGAGTCTCGCTCTTTCCTCCAGAGAACGCCCCAACAGCACAAAGCCAAGAAGCATCACCTGCATTCTAAAATAGTTTTCAGGAAAAAAAACTGCCTATAAAGTATAAAAAAGTGTAATTACTAATTAGATACATATACTCCCTCCGTCCCCTTTTATATTACAATATTCCATTTTTGAGAAAATTAAGCAGAAGTCAAATCATTAATTTTTTTCCCAAATTAACCCCAATTACGGAGGAGTCAAATCATTACATAGGAAGATGGAAGGGAGGGTAAAATGGTCTAAATGGTGTTAAAATTGGAACTTTGTAATTTGTTTTGGCACAAGAATGAGAGGGAATATTCAATATTGTAATCAAATTAGGGACGGAGGGAGTATTTCTTTGTGAGATGTGATATTTGTGCCTACTGAAGTCAAATGGCTAAAAACAACTAAAAACCAATGGATTAAACATAATTTAGATAAAGGAAAGGCATGTAGAATTACTCTCCTACACATAAACCACTCACCTAAAGCAAATATGAGAAAAACCAAAGGAGCCTTTAAGAGCATCTTTATCCATTTCCTTCACTTTCCCCTTTCTCTCTCCTCTTTTCCATTCCACATCACTTTCCTTCTTAATTTTCCTCGCATCACTTTAATAATTTCTGACACTTTTCCTTCTTTTTAAAATGATGGACCCCACATGTATAAATTTATTTATCTACATGATTTTTATTATAATAAACAAAGATAATTTATTTATGAAAAATTAACTAAAAATTATATTTTTAGTTTTAATATAAAAATATGTCCCAAAATTTTTTCTTTATATTTTATTATTTAAAACTTACATATAAATTATTATACTCGTAAAAAAATACGGAGTACTAAACCACACAACACTACACCCATACAATTTTTACTTTTTAATTAACATATAAATTATGTTTAAAAATATATGAAACTACACATGTCATGCTGAGTATTTTTTATGGTTACACATGTCATATTTAATATTAATTTTGTGGAAATGTATTTTTTGATGGGGAAAATTTTGGTTTTGAAAAACGGTTGAGAATTTGGAATATTTGGAAACATATTAGGAAAATTTATATTTGGATTAGGATCTCTTGAAAATAAAAATTAGAGTATAAACATGAATTTTTGTGGTTATTGGAGTGAATATGAGATTGGGATTTATAATAAAAGGATCAGGAAAAAAATAACGGCTAAAAAATAAAATACTTTCTATTTGAACCGGAAAAAAAACTTGAAAGTTTAGTTTCAAATTAAGTGGAAAGCCTAAATTAAAAAAATAAGTTGAAAGCCAAAAGATTGGGTTGGTTTCTCTTGACCAATTTTTTTTTAAAAAATATTTTCTCTTCTTTTCCTCGATGAAACCACCTTCCTCTCATCTCTCTCCTCTTTTCCTCTTCACATTCTAACCATTCCCCCATCTTTCTTCTTTGCCACATCATATTTTCTCATGCTTTCCCTCTCCACTAGGGATGTTCTAAGGAAAAAAAATGGATAAACTCATTAAAATGTATCCGGAATATAGAGAAGAGAGAACAAACCGGTTCATCAAAAAATGATGCATCCCACTGAAGATCAGGATTAAGGAGTGAGACCTGCAAAGAGGGAAATTTTTCAATGTTTGAGGTGGTGAGGCCTAAATAAATACACTACTTATCACTCTGCAACAGCTAAACTACTACAAAGAAAACTGAAATAATAAAAAAATGTCCAGTTTCAAACAACTCATACAGCACTTATGCTGAATGCAGCAAGTGATCCAAAACCAACAAGAGAGTTCATATTTGGTGATCCCTTCATGAAGGCTCGTACCCCATCAGAAAGTATGTCTGGAAAATAAAAATACTTCAGTCAGTGTCTAATGAACAGTCACTCGACGTCCAATTGTATATAAATAATGTATTTTTCTGAAATACATTAAATTACATCTCAATGAAACAATAACAGTTGCAAATTTGAAGTCTACAAATATAGAGAATGGTTTCAAGTTTAAGTCTATAGCTATAAGTTGAGGGTATGCATTCCAGAGACATCGAAATGCACAATTCAATGAGCTCGATATGGCTCTGGAGTGTTACACATACAATGCATTTAATTCAACTCCAGAGACCCGTGATTTGTTATGAATAATAATATAAAGGGTCTTAAAATGGGAATAAAGATATGATCAAAAGCTTTTTTAATAACAAATATTCTGCAAAGCACTATGGCACTGCAGTAACTTGAAACAAAGACCATAAAAAAATGAGTGCAGTACACTGCCTACTTTACACAATATATATCGTACAACAGGTTGTACGGTGTTTCCCGTACATCCACGGAGAGTGCTCATTTACGAGTAACTGAGTGCTCATTTTCGAGCAACTGAATACTCATTCTCAAATACTCATTCTCGAGTAACTAAATACTCATTTCTCTAAAATTTAGTTATGCTAAAAAATGAAAATCCAGTTACTCGAAAATGAGTATTTAGTTACTCGAAAATGAATACTTTATTACTTGACAATGAGTATTAATGCGGATGTATAGGATATGTCGTACAACCGGATGTATGGTATAGGTACTCCCTACTTTAGAGGGTGAATTGAAGGGTTCCAACCCAAATTATATTATACAACCGGCTGTACTCAAAATTGGGTACAGCCGGTAAAACGAAAGAGGAAGAAGAGCCGCGATGATGAAATCAAAGGGGCGAAGGAGGGTGACTAAAATTGAAGGTGTGCTCTGTAAATTAGTCCGATCGAATACCTGCGAAGGAGGGGCGCACCGACAACGACGACGACAAAGGAGGGGCGCACCAACGACGACGACGACGGCAGTTTGATCGAGGAAGAAAGTTGTTGTCGATCGGAGGAGAGGCGTGGGGATGAAAAACCATACAATTGTGGTCGGGTCGGGTAGGAGAGAGAAAGTTATTTATGGTATAAATTTTATTTTGCTTGAGAATGAACACTAAGTTATTTTAGAATGATTACTATTTTTTTCAGAATGAACACTACGTTCTTCATAGATGAATATTATAATTGTATTGAACAAATGTGTGAAAATAAGTACTACGTTATTTCAGAATGAGTGCCACGCTATTTCAAAATGGACAATTGTTTGTGCGAGAATGAGTACTACTTTATTTCAGAATGAGTACTACCCGGATAAACCTAGAGACCGGTTGTACCATATACTCTCTCGGGTTCTAATAATGAACTTTTGGATTTCTTGGGGTTTCTATTAAATTATTCACTTAAATATTCAAAAACGACTTTGATATTTTATACTTTCTATGAGTGTGATGTGGCCGGCCTTGAGGGCGTGCAAGATGAGCACCCACACAAGCCCCATATATTGTAGCTCCCAAAGGTTCAGTGAACTCCCTATTTGAAAGTTTTAAAATTAATTTTTGAATATAAATATACACTCTCTATTTAATTGTAGAAGTACTATACACGGTATAATATGTATATAAAAATGAGAACATAAACAGGAAAGGGAATAAAGCTGAAATCTTGAAAGGTCCGTGTCACTGACCTCTTCCAGGCCCTAATAGAGCTCCTAAAGCCAATCCACCTTTCAAGTAGGAATTATGCAGCAGTTCCATGAAGGGCCCTTAACAGACATTTTACAAGTGTTTGCTTAAAACGAATGAGAATGGTAAAAAAAAAATACTTAATGGAAATAAGATAACAGAATCAAAGCAAAGAGTAGAATACATTGTTTGATTTGCTTTACCATGGCCGACATGGAAGCCCAGAGAGTGCAGAATATGGGACCCGTGAGCTCCACAACAAAGAGCCACCAGCGTCCAGGCAAAAGCCACTCGGTTTCGACTCTCGGCAAGCAAAGCTTCCTTCTTCGCCACCATCTCCTTCCAATTCTTCACCTTGTCCTTGATCCCGAGCCCGGACGCTCTCCTCTTCGAAGGGAAGCCACATTCCGTCAGCCTCTTAGCCAGATCCTCAGCAGCGCACGCCTCCGCCACAGAATCCGGTTTCAATTTCACCGCCGCCGTCGCAGTTAGCAAGTTGACCACGGCTGACTCGACTCCGTCGTCGGCTGAAATGATTGATTTGACTTGTGAGACGCACGCTCCGCACATCATCCCCGTCACATCCAAAAGCACCGTCGAATCCTCCGGTTCGGCCTGCTTCTGGACCTCCTTCGGAAGGTCGAAATCGATTGGCTTGGTGAAGGCGCCATTACTGATCGAATGGGGATCGCTGCGGCTTCGGTTGAGATTAACAGGATTGAACTGGAAAGACCTGATTTTAGAGTAGTGGAAGTTGGGAATGAGCTTGGCTTTTGAGGAGAGAGGAGTGCGGAGGATATTCGCCGCCGCCATGGTTTCGTCGGAGACGGAGGTTCCGATTGACGGGAAAATGAGTTGATAGGTGACCGTGTGACATTGGTCAAAGGACCTGTGATCCCTTGGTGTGGTGGGTAGACAGAAAATCAGAGATTTAACAGACCAATGCTAACAAAATCCACATGTTTTTTTTGGGTTAACTGAACCAAATGTCTGAACATGTCGGATCAACAGGGTGGATTTCTCAGTCCGATTTAGTTTTTAAAACTACTATTCTCAACTTTTTTTTCAAAAAAAAAAAACTAAGCTGCTTTACTTTTTTTTTTTAAAAAAAAACTTAAGCTGCATTTTTTCTAGGTCATCACATGAATTACTCCTTTAGTATTTTTTATTTTCAAGTGAAAGAAAATGCCATATGTAAGGTTTATATTTGAAAGTTGGAAAACTACATTTGTTTGAAGTTCATAACTGGCCATTGGACTAGAGATTGGAAAATTGGGTCTTAGAGATAGATTTTGTTGGCAATTGACCATTGTCTCGCTCTCTTTTATACTATAATTCATGTATTATTCTATTAAACTGAATGCATTTTTATCTTTATATATTTTGATCTTATATGTATAAAATTATAATCATTCTGGTTAATAGTGTGAAGAGTATATACCAACCTTTTAAATTTAGAATTTTTTTTCTTTCTAACTCTGTCTAACACTCTTTTCTACTTGTAAGATCATCCACAAGCAAGTTCTTATACATATGACTATAGAGATTTGGGATGATATTTTTGTTTAATTTCGATCGGATAGAGTAGTGGGAGATGGTGCGGAGCAATGCGATGAAGCGGTGGTTGCTATGGATGTGGAGATGACGAGCTAAGGAATGAACACGTCAATAGGTTCTGTGATTAAATAGGTAAAGAAAGATCTTTTGACTGAAGCTGTTACAACTTTCGCGAACTTGTTTCAATAACATGTTCAGAACAAGATCAATACGACTTCAAAGGCCAGCGAGAAAGAAATTCATGACGTTGTTTCTAAAGTGGATGACATCTTTCGTTATCAGGTTTTGAAGGCAGTTAAGAAGTTCATGAACATGCCAGATTTTGTTGTGCTTACAAGAGCAATCGAGCCATAAACAATTATGAAGTATTAAGTATTTATTTTATATTATTAGTATTTATAATTGTCATACATTTGCATGTATTTTGTTTATGAAAGGATTGATCATTTTTTTATTTGAAATTATGTTGATAATATTTTGTTCATGAATAATTTGAAATGAAGTTCTAGTATTTGTCAAACAACTTCAAAATTTGAATAATAGAATTGAATTCTTGTGATTATCCATACAACATTTAGATTTCAAATTATGAATTATGAACTTTATGTGTTTGCCAAACATGGGAATATAATTTCATATTATAGAATTGAAATTCAAGAATTGAAATTAATTCTCATTTCCGAAATCCAAAGGCTACCTTAAGGAATTGAAACATTGCTCACAAAACTTCTCTCCCATTTAAACAAATTACAACTACTCACTTTTCACCTTAACACTTGTTAAATCTTGTGAGAGTCAAACAAGATTTTTTTACGAGTTCTCTACATAAATTTCAACCATACAGCCACACTACTCTTTTAACTCCATACAACTTGTTGCACATGTGAGGCTTATTCTATGGTATTGTTTATGTTAAAACATATTTGCAAAAACTAACATATTTCAGATGTCAATCTATGCTAATAAAAGATCAGACGAATCATACATCACCTCGAAATGAACACTAGAATGCGTCAGCACATGTTTGAAGAGACGAATAGCGCAGCAAAACTTCTTCTGGTTCAAACTTGATAATGTGGTCTAATATCGGTGTCATTGGTAATCCCACAACCTGGACTAGAGAGTTCGAGTGCCCATTTACAAATGTGCTAGTGATCTGCAAGAAGATAGACATATATATAGATGTGCTTCAGATTGTGACCAAGTTTTGTTGCTGTTCTATGAAAGAAAAAAATATTCTCCTCTTCCCCACAACAAAATTCTAAGGAACACCTCCACCTTTCATCTGTTACAAGACACCGAAATTTGTTTTTTTAAGAAATTCATTTAGAAAACCATCCCAAATAGGAGTAAAACATACTCCTAACTCATATCCCCAAAATAAGAGTTCTATGTTTTTATCCCCGAAGGCCCGAAACAGGACTTTGCGATGTGACATTGTAGCACTAACATTATTGGCATTGTTACTCCTATTTTGGGGATAAAAACATGGAACTATTTTGGTATTTTTCCAAAACATTTCCTACGTACCAGCCGAAGTAAATTCGGACTAGCACATGGGCGAAGATTGTTCAGAAATAGACGAAGATTTTTACAATAATGAATAACAAGTGTAGGATGAGGCAATGACCACGTACTTAAACATGAGTACAATTTAGTCGCCTCCGTGAGCATCAGAGTGGTGTGTGATTGTTACTAGTATTAGAAAACTCATAATAGATATGAAAAGGCATCCGTACCTGTGTGCAACCAAAAAGCTTAAGCAGTTTGAGGGAGATGCAACTGTCTACAATCACTCCTAGCGAGTCATCGGTTACTCTGCGACACCATGATAAGTCCAAATAATATAGTTTTATTGAACATTTGGCAAGTGAGAGCGCAGTACTTGGGCCAACCTGTTAGTGTTCCCAAAAGACAATGCACCAGTCAGGTATATTGTATAGTAGACAAAATATGACAAACAAAAACTAAAATAAGTTGTAGTCATCATTATCAGCACCTTAATACCAACAATGCTGGCATGAATGTGATAGTGTCAATTAAACGTCTATAATTAGTTACCAGACTTACCATTATAAGTGCCAATGGAGCTAAAAGAGTCACTAATGACAATATTTTAGTTGGGGGTATGTAGTGGAAGAAATCAAAATGACACATTCAACTTCTTCAACGCTTAAAATTTAATGAAGTTTTGAGTAGTAAATGAAACAATATGTCAAGACCAACACAAAAAGACATGCTTCAGAATTAATAGGCTTACCTTTGAACAATTATTGAGTGAAAGTTCTTCCAAAGATTGCCCGGAAGCTTCCAAATATGCAGCAATTGCTTCATCACTAAGCACGTACTTTGTAATAAGTATAATGTACTCGGAGTAATAGATAACTTGAATACAAACAAAATGACTGGTATGTTCCTGGTTATCATCACATGAATGCAAGATAGGGAAGCCATTGAAGACTAACATTTATACTCTCCCTGTCCCTAAAAGAATGTCAAATCTTAAAGAAATACAAAAACTAGGAGACACTAATATGTGTTGTCTCATTAATATGCATGTTGGAACTAGTGAATTAACTCAATGGAAATTATCATCTAATCGTTTCAATGGGTATTGATTAACGATATTTCTTGGAGTATGCAATATACAATTTCTAGGTTGTAATATACTTTTATAAGGATATGGAGTAATTCCAAAGTGGATTTGACAAGTATTTTGGGACACTAAAAAGTTGAAAATTTGACACTTTTTAGGGGCAGGGAGTATACTTTTTTAAAAAAACTGAAGGCTTTCGTAACAAGTATCTTAAATGCATACAAAAATATCTTGTTAGACCTTCAATGCCAGCATACATCCCTAAAAAAAGAGTCTTGTTTTTACTACTTGTGAATATTAAAATAATATGGTAAGGAATTAAAAAATAAAATGAGTAGCGGAATTAAAAACAACTTGTTTTGACTAAAATAATTTTCAATGCAATTTATTTGAAAATTGGTAAGGAATTAAAAAATAAAATTTATCTACCTAAAAACAACGTCAAAAGTTCTACAGAACAAGAGGTTACAAGATTTTATTATTTATCAAATGAGTAGCGGAAATGAGTAAAAATGTGTGGTTAAAGCTTGATCCAGTGAATACTAAACAGGAAGCTTAAATTGAGACGGAGGGAGTAAGAGAAATTAAGAATGAATGTGAGCCATGCAAACAAAAAGGTAAAAAAAGACAAAATTAGTGGCACGGACGGAGTACTTATTACCATAGTTTTCGGAACCGGACCGGTGACCGAACCGGTCAAGATACTAGTTCACTGGTCGAACCGGTGGTTTAAGCATATTTTAAAAATTATATATATATATATATATATATATATATATATATATACATCCATACATACATACATACATATATATATGTATGTATGTATATGTATGTATGTATGTATGTATGTATATACACACACACACACTCCCTCATTTATAAATACCTAAAATTATATATATATATATATATATATATATATGTATGTATGTATGTATGTGTGTGTGTATGTATGTATACACACACACACACTCCCTCATTTATAACATTTGACTAAAATTATATTAATATACTTGAGTTATTTTAGTAAGCTAAAAAATATAATTTACATATTTAAAAAACAATATTAAAAATTTTATAAAGGAAGAGTTGATTTTATTTTTTTCAAATAAGTTGTTTAATATTACAAAAACACTCAAATGAAATCTTTACATGATAGACATTTTGTAACAGTATCAGTTATATCAATCATTTTGTGTTTGACTCATAGTTATATATAATATTATATTTTTTAAACTAAAAAGGAATTTTTAAACAATCTTTTTTTAATTATGAAATATTATAAAAGATTAAGTGAACTTGTAACAAAAAGCACTCTAGCTTGGATGGTTAGGAACTCAACTAAATGACTAAGAGATCTTGGGTTCAAACCCCCATGGTGGTATGCTTTTGGAAAAAAATTGCAAAAAAAAACAAAAAAAAAAAAAAAACTAGTCCGACCGGTTGGTTCTTGCCGGTTCACACTGGTTCGGACCGGTTTGAAGCTTATTGCAATCCATAGGACTGGACCGGACCGGTTGGACCACCGCTTCGCAGTCCAAACCGGCCGATCCGGTCCGGTTTTCAAAACTATGCTTATTACTCCATCCATCCCAATTTAAGTTGCCTGCTATTGTAAACGATGTTTGACTGAATTATTTTCAATTTTCAATTCAATTTATTTGAAATTCGGTGTGAAATTTAAAAATAAAAGTTATATATTAAAAACTACATCAAAAGTTCTACAAATCAAGAGGAGACATGACTATACCTTTTTATCAAATGAGTAAGAAAAATTGGCATAGTGGTTAAATTTGACAACTTAAATTGGGACGAGGGAGTATTCACTAAGGTCTGAGTTACATTTACATATTAAAAATGTCGGTGAATATCTGCTCTGTTCCATTCCATCCCATTCTGTTATGGAAGGATCCATTAGACCCGAATCTCTACCCAGGACCACAAAATAATGGTACACTATGAGACCGGGGG